ACAACCTGAGCCAAAATCAAGAGTCGGTCACTCAACTGACTGTGCCACCCAGGTATCCCGCCATGACAGTATTTAAAATTAAACTCTATATGCTTACAAGTAAATAAATTATATTGAAAAAAAGATAATAATCAGAATGCACCGCTTCCTTACTATTTTATTACACTCTACCAAGATCTATGCTCCGTGATCATTCACCTCTGTATGGTAGAAATAATTACATACGGGGTGCTATTGTATTTCTTTGTAACTCTGAGTTCAATGATGTTGCATTGGTAACTTGAAATTGGCCATTGGTGGAAGTCTCTAGACCATGGAAATTGGCAAAGTCTACAAATCAGGACTCCCATTTATTGTTTTTTTAATAATTTTTTATTGTTATGTTAATCACCATACATTACATACATCATTAGTTCTTGATGTAGTGTTCCATGATTCATTGTTTGAGCATAACACCCAGTGCTCCACGCAGAATGTGCCCTCTTTAATACCCATCACCAGGCTAACCCATCCCCCCACCCCCCTCCCCTCTAGAACCCTCAGTTTGTTTTTCAGAGTCCATCGTCTCTAATGGTTCGTCTCCCCCTCCGACTTACTCCCCTTCATTCTTCCCCTCCTGCTATCTTCTTCTTCTTTTTTTTTTTCTTAACATATATTGCATTATTTGTTTCAGAAGTACAGATCCGTGATTCATCAGTCTTGTACAATTCACAGTACTCACCATAGCACATACCCTCCCCGATGTCTATCACCCAGCCACCCAATCCCTCCCACCCCCCACCACTCCAGCAACCCTCAGTTTGTTTCCTGAGATTAAGAATTCCTCATATCAGTGAGGTCATATGATACATGTCTTTCTCTGATTGACTTATTTTGCTCAGCATAATACCCTCCAGTTTATTTGTTCTTTGGGTGTGGAGTTTGATAAGTTCTTTATAGATTTTGGATACTAGCCCTTTATCTGATATGTCATTTGCAAATATTTTCTCCCATTCTGTCGGTTGTCTTTTAGTTTTGTTGACTGTTTCTTTTGCTGTGCAAAAGCTTTTTATCTTGATGAAATCCCAATAGTTCATTTTTGCCCTGGCTTCCCTTGCCTTTGGCGATGTTTCTAGGAAGAAGTTGCTGCGGCTGAGGTCGAAGAGGTTGCTGCCTGTGTTCTCCTTTAGGATTTTGATGGACTCCTGTCTCACGTTTAGGTCTTTCAACCATTTGGAGTCTATTTTTGTGTGTGGTGTAAGGAAATTGTCCAGTTTCATTCTTCTGCATGTAGCTGTCCAATTTTCCCAACACCATTTGTTGAAGAGACTGTCTATTGTTTTTTTTGATGAAGAAAAGGAGATGAACGCAGATTAAATTTAGAAGTGTGTTATGTTGTGATTAGCACAAAAAGTGAGGGAAGTGTTCGTCCAGCATTAGCTGGCTCAGCAAAGATGCTCATATCACCGATGGAGTGATGTTTATCTCCACGGCTTCGCTTTCATTTTATTCTTGAACACAAACGAAGTATCAGTCCGCGTTTATGTCACACATCAAATTTCATGACGACAAATTTTGGGGGGAAAGAACGAGCAGATTGGGATGCAACTCCATTTGTGGAGTTGTGGTTGAATGGCCAGCATGGTTTGGCTGTGGTTTTGAGAAGCATTCTGTAAGAATTGGGGGGATTTATAGGATTTACAAGTAATTTTATGATGAAGAGTAACATATATTGTACTATTGTTAGTATACTGCGTGCTACACACCATTTGTATCAGTAAAACTAATAATCAACTTAACTATCCCCTCCCCCCACAACTGCTGGTGGTTAGCGGCGGGGGGGGGGGGGGGGGCGCAGCCCGCTGCCTGGGGCACTCTGCAGTTAGGAGGGCAGGGCAGCAAGGAGAAGCCTGGGGAGGAGAGGAGAGCCGTGTGTCCCAGAGGCCAGGTGGGAAGTGTTTCAAGGAGGACAGCTGATCATCTGGGTCAGATGCCCCTGGCGGGTCTCAAGAGGAAGAAGAGAAGGGACCTCTGGATTTGGCACCACAGCAGTTTCAATGGCACAGCGGGGAGGAGGGCCTGACTGGCGGCAGGTTAGAGGGACAACGGGGAGACAGGATTGGGCAGCCAGCATGCAAAACTCGCACAACTCCTGAGGCGCTTCCCCGTGGAGGAAAGGAGCCGAAGAGACGAAGGTGTGGGTGTCCGAGCTGTCACCTCCCACCACCTCTCCACCTCAGGCAGATGGGTTGTAGGCAAGAAACGGAGGGAGAAATTTGGGGCAGCCCAGTCCCGTCCCCGTCTTGGGCCCTAGTTCATTCTGATGCTGCACACCAGTTCCTCTCGGATGTCAGAACGCACAGCCCTGATCCCAAAGCCCAGACCCCAAAGCCTTGGGGCTCAGAGCTGGAGGCCTTATCGGCAGGCTTGAGACCAAAGACCTGACCCCAGGCCCAGGAGATGGAGCCCCAAGATGGGCCTGATACCCTAGCCCCTGCCTCCCCGGCTCTCCAGCCCCCAGAAATGTTGTCAGGCTGTGGGCAGTGGCAAGGGTCACCTAAGGTCAGTGGTCAGGAATCTGAGTGGGACACGGTCAGCCGCGGGGGTGCAGGGGCAGAGTGGGGAGGAGGGCGGGGGCTTTCTGGGCGCTGGGGCGGTGCTTAGGCAGTCTGAGGGAGGGGAAGGTGTGTAGAAATGTTGAGCGGTGCCAGGGAGTGACCGTGAGGTGGGCTGGGGATTCTGAGCCTGTGACCAGGAAGGGCCAGGGCTGCCCAGAGGGGCTAGAGAGGTCTCCGTCCTCAGTGGTTGCGGGTCCCGGTGGGGCTGGGGGCTCAATGGGGTTGGCACGTTGGAGAAGCGAGCTGGCTGGTTAGCTGGTGGTATCGGTGGGCTGCGGATAGGGGAGTGTGTGGTGGGCGCAGTTCTTGGTAATGACAAAGTCCGGGGTCTGCCCGGGGTGCGGGTGGCTGAGGGCGGGGGCCAGGCTTGCTGGAAGAGGAGGTCGGTCAGGCGCTGAGGCGCCAGGGTGCTCGCCCATCACCCAAGGGGCTGCTGAAATAAGAAGTGGGGGCAGCAACGCAGGAGAGCGGCAGGAGTTGACCCCCTCCAGGAATGGGGGCAGAGTGACAATGATGTGGCAACGACGGGGAGGAGCATGCAGGACCCCTGCCCACCTCTGGGCCCGGGAATAGGGGGAGTGGGGGGGAGCAGTGGCCACCATTGAGAGGGCTGCGGGGGGGCGGTCCCTGCCCACTGCGGGGAACAGGTTTCTGTGGTAGTATGAAGGTCAAGGACACACTCTGAGATGTGGTTGAGGCCACCGTGCGGGTGATGGTCTGTGGGATTGTCTGGGAGTGGGGGCGGATGGGAGATCGGGTCAGATTAGAGGATGAGTGTCTGGGGTACTTGGGTTCCTATGGTAACTGATTAAACAAGGATGAAAGGCATGCAGGATGGGGCTTCCTGAAGGTACCACGGCGCACGGGGATGTGGGGTGGTACGGGTGGGTCTTGCCGGCAGCCTGCAGGGACCCAGGGCCCTTCTCCGCCCCAGCCGCATCTGTAAAGTGACGAGAGTGAAAACTGCCTTGCCGAGCATCAGAGAGCCAAGCGCTGAGTAGGACTTGGGGTTGTAACTATGACCACCGTCAATCATTGTCTTTGGGGGCAGTTTGATGGGCACAGGTGACCGTGGTGGGGGCTGTGGAGGGGTGTTTGGTTTTTCCAGAGGGTTTAGTATCTGGGTGGGGTTCTCAGGGGTCCAGGAAAGGATAAAGGCCGGAGGATACATCAAAGGACCCCTCTGGCCCAGCATCTTTGCAGTCAGGTGGATGTCTAGTAAGTGGACTTGACCTTAAGTGGTGACCTTGAGGCTGATGGCTCTGTGCTGGGGAACAGCAGGGGAGAGCCCTGACACGCAGGGGAGGGAGAAACACCGACACTTAGTGCTGTTGTCCAACTTCCCCTCTAGGGTATGGGCTCCACATGGGGGGCCTAGCTATCAGAGCAGAGTGAGAGGGATAGGGAGGAGGGGGAGACGGGGGGGGCAAGGTGCAGCATTAAATGGGGTGATGGGGGCTCACTGAGAAGGTGACATTTAAGCAGAGCCTTGAAGAGGGTAAGTGAATGAGCCTTGTGGACACCTGGGGGAAGAGCATTCTATGCAGAGGGAACAGCCACTGCAAAGGCCCTGAGGCAGGACAGACGGGCAGCTTCATGGAATAGCAGGAAGGTCAGTGTGGCTGGAGCAGAGTAGGCGAGGGGGAGCATCGTGGGGAGGAGAGGTCAGGGAGGTGGCAGGGAGCAGATCACAGGGGGCCTTATAAGCCACTGTGAGGACTCTGCCTTTTACTGAGTGTAACGGGAACCACCGCTTTTGGGCAAAGGAATGACACAATCTGCTTTAGTGTGCCGTGTGCGGAACAGACGGGCGGGGGCCACAGCTGGGTCGGCAGAGACCAGTGAGGAGGCTGCCCAGCAATCATGTGGTGATGGTGGAGGTGGTGAGAGGTGGATGACCAAGCGGGTTTCCTACTGGATTGGAGAATTTGGAGGTATCAGAATGGGAAGCCTTGGCGTGGGGGTTGGAGTTTGTCCAGGGGTTTGCTGTCTCTGCTCTCTGGAGCCTCGGGGACCGCTGTTAGAGGGGGGTTGTTAAATGCTATGGTTTGGCCCCATACCCCGCTCCCTGGTGTCTGTCTTAGGTCCTAGGTTCCACATGGGGTCCTCCGAAAGGGCCCTGGCGCTAGAGCAAAGCCCTATGTTACAGGTGGGGAGGCTGAGGCCAGAGGACAAGACGAGGTGCCCAGGGTGGGTCGTGTGGGAATCGGTGGAGAGCTGGGATGGAGCCCAGGCTGCCTGGTGCCCAGTTGGGCTGGTGTCCTGGCTAGTGGCAGTCCCCTGCCGCTCCCCAGTCCAGCTGTTAGGGGGTGCCGTTTGTGTAGCTTGGCAGCCCCCACCCGCTACCCCACTGTGGTCTCTCTCCTGAGCCCCCTGGAAACTTGCCTCTCTCCTTTCTGTCAGTGATGTGCCCAAGGGGGCCAAGACCTTCGGAGTCTCTGGGAGCCCCGGAGTGGAGGTTTTCATGGTCTACGACCCAGCTCGGGTGACGGTGCCCACAGGCAAGTCCCACTGGCCCCTGGACACCAACGTGGAGGTGACTGTTTCCGTGGATGCAGCCAGTAAGGACTTAAATGATCTCAAGGTAAGAGGCCACATCTCCACGGTCAGGGGCCGCGTCTCCCACCCCCCTGCACCCAAGCATAACCCCATCGCATCACCCCTGCACCACCAAACCCCACGAGGCTCTGACACCTGCATCCACACAACACATCTTGATGCCACAGACACCCTGGACACGCACGTCCACCCCAAGGCTGCAACGTCACCCATACACACACGAATGAATACTCCCATAAAAACAGCCTGCCTACTCACCCCCTCAAATTCACAGGCACCCTCACACGAACGCCTGTGTTCAACCTCCGCACAGACCCCAAAACAAGCCCCGTAGCAGGCAGGACTCTAGCGGCGGCCATGCACACGCGTGCGCGCATGCACGGAGATGCAGGTGCCCACCGGGCTGTGCACCTGTCCTCACATCTAAGGAAGGAGAAAGACTTCTCTTCCCTGGACAGCCCCCTCATCACTCAGCCCCAGACACCGACCACACATACAGTGACCCACGGGTTCACTGACATGGCCCTTTCTCCCCCGACAGGGAAAAGGCAGACTGTGTAGCTATTGAGAGCAAGGGTCCTGGAGCTTGCCATGGGTTCAAATCCCACCTCCCTGGCTTACTAGCTGCATGCCTGCAGGGAGGGCCGGGAGTGGCCTCATTGGGAATAGGCCTGGTCTCCTGGGGCCATCTTGGGAGCTCACTGAGATGGCTTGGGTAGAGCCCTTGGCATGGGTTCCGGACCATGGGAAAAGCTCTGTGACCATTGGCTTTTATTGGGAGTGGGGGTGTGGGCGTGTGGTCATTATTCCCATTTTACAGATGAAGAAACAGAAGCCTACACAGACTGAGTAACTGGCTGATGTCAATGGCGTTAGCCGTCCCTCCCCTCATTCCTCCTCTCTGACATCTCCATGGATTCCTGAGGGTCAGGTTCTCCCTCTGGGACCCGCCCCACCCTACTCAGCCCTCCTTCCTCCTCAGCCCGGCCCTGGAGCCTGGGAGGCATTCACAGCCTCTCTCGCTGGGGAAGGCAGCTCCAAGTCCAAGCCAGGAGCCCGGGAATCTTGGACCTTCTGCAGCGGGGAGCACCTCGGGATGGCCAGGCCTCCCCTGCCTTGAAGCAGGACTGTCGGGGTGTGTCCCCACGCCCCCTTGCCACTGCCATCTCTGAAGGGTGGTCGTGCTGGCTTAGGGCTAATGATGTCCCCACAGGTGAAGGTGTCCTACTTCGGGCAGCATGAGGGCAGTGCCCTGGGCCACAGCATGCTCTACCTCACTGGCGTCGGTAAGTACCACCTCCCTGGCTCCCTGTATATCCCCCCGCCCCTCCATGTTGCCTGCTTGAAGGTCTTAGGGGAACCCCTGAGTGCAAGGCCCATGGCCATCTTCCTCCACCTTGAGGAACTTCTTCAGAGGCCTTTAGTTCAGTCAGGGATGGAAACCCAGCAATACTTAGGGCCACCAGAATCTAGAAACTGCACAGCCCATGGCTGACAGCTAGACCCACCTTAGGCCTCCTTCCTCCGGAGGCCCACCTGTCATACCACTGGAACTCCAAGATTCCTTGCTAAATCTCAGAGAGCCGCGAGCCGCCTTCAGCCAGAGCCCTGGCTGCTGGCTCCGACAACAGTGGAACCAGCACCTAGAGCCTCAGCTCGTTTGCAAGGGCCAGGGGGAGGGCCACCAAGAGCTAGCAATTCAGCATGCATAGATGGGCAATACATTCAAGAGCTGGAGACCGGGTCCCTCCAACATCCAGAACCACAGGGGGTGGCCACATGGCCTCCCGGGCATTGGGTGTGGTCCCCAGAACGGGTCTTCCTGGGTCTCGTGGGCGAAGCTCACCTCGGCCTGGACATCATGGGCATGGAGGCGGGACTGGGCGAGCCTCTGGTGCCCCTCTCCACTCCTTTACAGACCTCTCCCTCGATGTCGACACGCATCGCACGGGCAAGGTGAAGAGGAGCCACGGCGACAAGGTGACACTCTCCTGGCCACCCTAGGCTGGCAGGGTTGACAGGCAAAACCTCTGTCCCCCAGGCAGGGACAAAGCTCAGTGGGCTGGTGAAGGTTGTTTCTGGAACACCCTTCCTCCTCCAGTGCCATGCCTGGGTGGGGCCACCATGTATGGTTGCATAGGTTGTTCACTACACAAGTGCGGGGTGGATCTGGGTCTAGAGACCTGGAACTCCAGTCCCCAAATCTATGATCCCTCTTTAGATCTTGAAGCAAACCCAGAAAACAGAAGTCTCCATGTTAACAAAGCAGCCAGCCCTAGCCAGCTCCAGAGCCCCTTCCCCAGGCCCTCTGGGTCCCACTGACCCCAAAGCCTCTTGTTTTGCCACAGAAAACCTGGCGCTGGGGCCCTGAGGGCTATGGGGCTGTCCTGCTGGTGAACTGTGACCAGGACAGTGTCACATCCAGAGGGCCTGACCTCACCAACAGCCAGCTAGCATCACTGGACGGTATGTGACAGAGGGGTGTGTGGGGACGTCCAGGGCAGTGGCCTGGGCCAGTAGAGGCTGGGGGAAGTGGGGGAGGGGTAGACTGTTGGCGGGGTGCAGGGAGGGCTGTCTCAAGGGCGCCATTCTCTGCAGACCTACAGGACATGTCCCCCATGGTACTGAGCTGTGACGGCCCAGACAGGCTCTTCGACAGCCACAAGCTGGTCCTGAATGTGCCCTTCTTGGATTCCAAAAGAGTGGGGGTCTTCTGTGCTAGGGGTGAGTGGCCTGCTGGGGCCGCTTTCCTCCCGGCTCTGCTCATTCTCTGCTTCCCAAACTCTTTTTTCTCTTACACACATCCCCCCCACCCCTCCAGCATCTTCTATACCTCCCTCTACCTCTGATGAACAGCCACCCCAGCAGCTCACAGCATACTACCTAAGAAGGAGGTTCGAAAACGAGTCCCATTTTATAGAGGAGGCCACTGAAGTTCAGATGCAGGAATCCACTGTCTCTAAGTCACACAACCAACGGGGAGTGGAACAGGCATTCGAACCCAGATCTCTTAAGCACCAAACCCCTCCTCTTTCCACTGCCCGCCCCCCCCCCCACCCCGGTCAGGCAGCACGGGATGAGCGCTGGATGCACCCCGGGCTCTGTCCGGACTGGGTGAGGTGGGAGCGAGAACTAGCAAAGCTGAGGCCCGGGCCAGCTCTTAGAACCCATATGTTCAGATTTTATATATCAAAATCTGTGGCTTAAAAAAATATGCCCATCCTTAACCCTGAGCTGCCTTTACTCGTTTTTATAAATAGAAAGAGGCTTTTCCTGCCCCTTTGTTTCTTCCCCCCTTACCTTCTGTTCAAACTGACCCAGAACTTGTTCTGGCCGCCTGAACCCGGCAGGAGCCAGAATGTTCCTCCTCCTGCACCACTGGTGGAAGTTTAGGCACAGAGCTCCGCTTGGAAACACTGGGACACCAGAACGTAAGCAAAGTCTCAATCAGTGAACGGATAACCTTTCAAGCCCTGAATGAGAGCATGCCAGGGTGACCTTTCCCAGACAAGCCTCAGAGGAGGGCGGAAGGGGGCAGCAAGAAATACTACAGGCCAGGCGCTTTTAAAAAGAAATAGAGGTGAAATTCACGGAACAGGAAATTAACCATCTGAAAGTGGACAGCTCCAGTGGCACTTAGTTCGTCTCTGATGCTCTGCTACCACCCCCTCTATCTAGTTGCAAGACCGTTTCCTCACTCCCATGTAAAACCTCCTACTGGTCACCGGCCACTCCCCGTACCCTCTCCCCCCACCCCCCAATCCTAGGTATCGTAATCTGCTTCCTGTCCCTATGGATTTACCTGTGTTGGATACTTCCCTGTAAATGGAATCATGCAATATGTAGCCTTGTGTCAGTTTGCATACAATTTTCAAGGTTCGTCCACATTGTAGCATGCGTCAGCACCTCATTCCTTTTGATGGGTGGAAAATGTTCCATTATATGGGCGAACCACAGTTTGTTTATCCGTTGATGGACGTTTGGGTATTTTCCACCTTTTGTGCGGGCTGCTTTGATCTCTTTATCTGATTTAAAGCTTCCGCTGACCTCCTGAGAGACTGTTGGCCCATTTTACAGATGGGGAAGGGAGGCTCAGAGAGGCTGAGTCACTGAGCCAGGGTCACACAGCTTGCACGCAGTGGGGCTCGAGGGGAGCCCCAGCAGATCTAACACGAAGGTGGCTCTGCCCCAGATCCCTGGCCTCTGGTTTCCTCCCTGCCATCCCTCGTCCCAGTGCCGGCCCCTGACTCTGGTTTCCCCTAGGCGGGAATTCTCTGGAGGACTACAAGCAGGTGCTGGGGCCTCAGCACCTGTCCTACGAAGTTGAGCGGCAGCAGGGGGAGCGGAAGATCAGCTTCTTTGTGGAGGGACTCACCTTCCCTGACGCTGATTTCTTGGGGCTGGTCTCCCTCAGTGTCAGCCTGGTGGACACGGAGGTATGTGCAGTGTTGGGGGCTGGGGTGGAAGCTGAGGGTTTGGGGGACCAGTTTGGAGTCTCTGGGGCTGGGCAGGTGGGGGTACTGGGGGAACTTGAGGCCTGATGGGGCTCCCTGCAGGGCCCACTTAGTCCTCATTTCCCCCCCAGACAATGCCTGAGGTGCCCCTCTTCACAGACACCGTGGCCTTCCGCATGGCCCCATGGATCATGACCCCCAACACCCAGTCCCCCCTGGAGCTGTATGCATGCAGGTGAGACCTCACCCCTCCTGCAGCAACCCCACCATCTCTGGACTAGTAGAGGTAGGAGCAGAATGCTGTGTCTGCCATTGGGCCCTCACTCCCTGGACGGATACGTTGAGGTCACCCATGGGTGCAGGCTGGACTAGGGAGAGCAGCTGGCTGGCTTGGGCTGGTCAGCCCCATCCTGTGCTGAGCAGCTAAGGCCCTGGCTGAGATCACTGGCTCCAGCATCCGGTGTCCCTGCCTCTACCGTGTCCTGCCCGTGGGACAGCTCGGATTGAGTCCAGGCAGCGAGGTTAGGCTCTGGTTAGGCAGCTGGTGATCCCAGGAGTGGGGTCGGTGGTGGCCGCGACCAAGGTAGTCAGAGGTCGCTATTATGTTCCTCTCTCCCTGTGTTTTGCAGTGTGGCAGACTCTCACGGCCCAAATAAGAAATTTCTGGAAGACATGTCTGACCTAGCGTTGAAAACCAACTGCAAGCTGATCATCTGCCCTCAGATTGAAAATCGAAATGACCGCTGGATCCAGGTGGGCGCAGGAGCAGGGGGCGTGGCCCGGGACGCCTGGGTCCCCAGCCTTTACCCTGACTTTGGGAAATAGGGCCTGCACAGGTTCCTAAGCAGCCTTGGCCTCCCAAGAAAAGCCGGGACTCGGTCGGCGGGGAGCGAGGCACAGGCAGCTTAGGGAAACACGTTCCCACTGCCCCTATCATCCCAGTCTCTCCAGTTTCCACCACATGCTTGGGTCCCAGACAGAGTCCTCTCCCAGTTGGGGTCCCAAGAGGCCTCACCTGTAACCCTGACCCATGCACACCCAGGTCTTAGGGAGCATCTGTGGCCCCGCCCTGGTCCAGGTATGAGGGGATCACCCCGTTTGGAAAATCACACTTGGGGACACCACCGTGATCTCTTCTCCTCTCCTAGGACGAGATGGAGTTTGGCTACACCGAGGCCCCTCACAAGTCTTTCCCAGTGGTCTTTGACTCTCCCCGAAACAGAGGGCTGAAGCATTTCCCCTATAAGCGGATCCTGGTATGTGGCAAAGGGTGGAGTGGAGGTCCCTTGGGGGGGGCTCCTCCTGTAGGATTTCACTGGTCCTGGTCCTCGTGACTCTTGCCTTTATGAGGTGGGGCCTGTTTTCAGATAACAAATGTTTTCTGAACACCTGCCACGGGCCAGGCCCCATGCTGCCTCTCATGCACAGGATGGCGACGAGAGCAGTCCCAGCAACCATGCGCTGCGTTCCAGGCACCTGCCCCTAGCTTTGCACGGTCACCTCTCGAATCCACAGTCCTGTGGATAGCTGCTGTGTTCAGCCCCTCCTTCTGGAGGCTCAGAGAGGTTAAGGAACTTACCCTCGGCCAAGAAGCTAGTGGCACCAAGAGGCAAAACCAGAGGGACTGTCTCCACGGTCCCACCACTGAACTGAACTGGCTTTGGAGGTGGGCCTGAGGCCTACAACTCGCCATCTCCGCCTGTTTCCCAGCTCCCACACCCCTGGCACTGGGACAGTGCCCGCATCCAGGTCGGGGCAGGGAGGGGGAAGTCCGGGAGCTCACGGGAACGCGGAGCAGGGCATTTACCTCAGCCTGGAGCGGCCGGGGCTGCGTCCCAGCGCAGGTGACAGTGAGCCCTGCAGGGTGGTGAGTCTGCATCATCCAAGGGCCTGACCCCAAGCCTGGGCCTGACGTGGCCGGGGCGTTCCCTGTTTATCTCTGCCCTCATCTTTACTCTGTCCTCCCTTCCACTTGCCCTGCGTCTAATTTGCCGTTCTTTTCCTAGCTGGAAATGGAAGCAAGATTTTCACCTTACACTTCAAAATATTGTCTAGTTTCCACTTGGATTTCTTCTTTGACCTAAGGATTCTTCAGAAGTGTATTGCCTGATTTCCCAACATTTGGGGATTTTCTTGTTATCGTCCTGTTGCAGACTTGGACTTTAATTGCATTCCCCCACCTCCCCGCCCAAGAGGTGTCACTTCCTGTCCTAACTGACCCCTCCTTCTGGGGTGGGGGGGGCTTGCTGGTCCTCCCTTAGGGTCCTGACTTCGGATATGTAACCCGGGAGATCCCGTTTGCTGGCGCCTCCAGCCTTGACTCTTTCGGCAACCTGGATGTCAGCCCGCCCGTCACAGTGGGCGGCAAGGAGTATCCCCTGGGCCGGATCCTCATCGGCAGCAGCTTCCCCAAGTGAGAGGCCTGGCGGGAGGCGGGAGGGCGTAGGGATCCCCGCAGCATGCACCCTCCAGCTCCCTCACCCCAAACACAGGTCTCCAGTTTGAGAAGCGGTCTTCATTCCTGCTCGTGGTCCTGGAGTCAAAGACTTCGAGTCCTAGAAACTTAGATTTAAAGCCTCATTTCTCTTTGGAGAAAACTCATGAACTAGAAACCCACGGTCTTTGGGCCTGCCTAGTATCTCGTGAGCTTCATTAGTCACCAACTACATATATAGGGGGAGGCCTTACATAAACAGCCAGATTTCTAGCTTCTTTTGAAACATGAGAATTGTCGGGGAGGTGACGCACGATGTGGCGCGGAGGCAGGAGATGAACCTGGTGACCTCTCCCAGTAGGTCAAAATAGCTGCTATTCTAGCAACAGCTTAAAGGGCCCAGGGGTCACCAGGTGGCTACCGGTGAATGGCTGGGCAGGACACTAGGGTGGCAGAGGTGACTTGGTGGGTCCCACCCTGGCCAGTTGTCATCAGGCAGGAAACAAGGTATATAGGGGCTAGTGCTTAGACAGGTGACGGTATCTGCTAAGTCCTGCTGAATGGGTCCCCACCCTGCCTGCAGGCAACCGAAGAATGGGGTGCGCTGTCCGGGGCTGCTGGCGGGGTCCTTGGCTTCCTGTCTGGAGATTAAGCCCGCCAAGGGCACCAGAGGCCACCTTCTCCTTTGTGTGTGGCCAGGCCGTCATAGGAAGGTCACCCAGGCTTGAGTGGTGACCCTGGCAGCCTCGGGGTTGTGGATCGGGGGAGGCGAGGTTTCCTGGCACCAACCCCAGGCACATAGCTGGGTGCCCAAGCTGGATGCCCGGGGCTGAGGTTGGCTAGAGCGAGAGGAGTGCTCCACCTTGCTGGTGACTCATGCTCAGACACTAGTCGGGGACCTATCTCGCCCCCAGCCCTGGAGGCGGAGGGACCTGGGGGCCTCCGGGTAGTCCTCCTGTGCTTCAGGGAGGGACCCAGGGGGAAGGAGCACAGGCTTTGGAGCACAGATGGGCTTGGGTTCGAGTCCTACTTCTGCCATCTACTAGTCATGTGTTTTGGGGTATACCACCTAAGCAGCACTTACTATAGTGCCTGGCACATAGTAGGCACTCAGTTAACTCATTTGAAGCTACTTATTTTATGCCTACTATGTGCCAGGCACGGTTGAAGATACTAGGGATATATCAGTGCGCAACAGATACATTATGAAATGAACAAATTATTTTATACTCCATGCCTCAGTTTCCTGTCTGTGAAATGGGTCTATTAAAAATCTCTGTGCTAGCTATATAATCAGCACTAGTGGGGATAAAGAATTCATGTTAACTGTCTTCTGAATGTTTAAGTATTGTTTAGCTGGGCCCCCAGCAGTGGGTCTCCTATGAAGCAGGTTGGAACTCATTGGGCAAAAGTTATTAATCACCTACTATGTGCCACGAACATAAGGATTTACCCTCATTTAATTTAAGGATTAGCCTCATTTAATTCTTAGAGACAGCCCTATGAGGTTGGGACGATTATTATCCCCATTTCACATATGAGGAAGCTGAGGCTCAGGGGAAGGGAGTGCACTCATTTATGTATTCATTTACCTGATTCTGTTAAATATTTATTGAGACTTCCCATATGCCAGGTCTGCGGCCCTGGATAAAAAAAATGTTCTGGAAGCTCCCAGGTTCAGAGCAGGGACTGGGGATAGGAAGGTGGGGACCTCCAGTGCAGCTGTGACCCAGTCCACTGACCATTGTATAGATAACCAGGAGCAAGGTCCTTGGTAAACGGAAGGGGTCCCTGAGGCTCAGAGAGGTACAGCTACTGCCTAGGATCACACAGCAAGTTAGCAGTATAGTCAGAATCCAGAACTCCCCCTTGGACCCCAAACTAAAATTTAACACTCAGGCTGAGGTCCTGTGTTCCTGTCTTGGCTTCTTTCTGACCTCAGCAGTGAACAAACAGCCAACCTATACTCATTCTAGCAGGGAGAAACAGACAATAAGCAAAACTAATAAATAAGTAGATAATATAGGGTGTTAGATAAAGGAAACCCTGGGGAGAAGCTGACATTTAAACAAAGCCCTGAAGGAAATGAGGGAGTTGAAGATGTGGGTATTTGGAAGGAAAACGTGCAAAGGAGTGGAAAAGGTCAGTGCAAAGGCCCTGAGGCAGGAGTGTGTTGGAGACATTAGAGGAGCAGCAAGGAGGTCCATGAGCTGGAGCTGAGTGAGCAACGAGGGGCACGGTCGGGGATGAGGTCAGAGAGCTTAGCAGGGCAGAGTTCAGATCATGACCTGTGCCTGTTATTTGTACATACATCATAGGGGAATCGTGGACATTAAGCAAGATACTTAGTACTAGGAGCCTCAGGCATGCACACACTAGGTGCTCAGTAAATGTCCTGTCCATTCTCTGTTTGGGTTCTCCCCGCTCTGCTCCCCATATTTAAAAATCATCTTTAAGCAATTCTGCCCCCTGGTGGTGGCCTTGATGTGCCTCCCAGCGCAGGTCTGAATGCTTCCCAGGCTGGCTTGGGCTGGCGGGGCCCCTCCCTCAACCTCACGTGTTCCTGACTCTGCTCATGAACATGTTCTGGGGTCTCGCTCTTCTCCACCATCTCACTTTAGGAAGTCTTTTTAAATTGCCAGCACTATCTTAAAATAACAGAAATACAAGAAAAATATTTTCCACAGTCCTATACCCCAGATCAAATCAGTGTTGTCATTTATCATTGCTTGTTGAGTCTACGGCATATTTGAGTGATAGAGACCATGGACTATTACGGCTGTTCAAAAGCATATCATTCACAAACGGTTTTTGAGCATCTGGTATGTAAGAGGGGCTAGGAGCCCAGAAGTGAACGTGGACAAAGTCCCAGCCCTTCTGGAGCTTACATTCTGGTGAGATGCCAGGCAATACACGAGATAGCAAGTATGCCAGATAGTACCAAATGCTGTAAAGAAACATAAATCTGGGAAGAGGATTGAGGGATTGTTCAAAGGCCTCATAGAGAAAGAAGGCCTCATTTGAGTTAAATTTGAAGATGGAAGTGAGCCATGGGGAGATAGAGAGTGGGCAATAATTTCTGGTACAGAGAACAGCATGTGCAAAGGTCCTGAGGCAGGACTGTACCTGGTATGTTCAAGGGGCAGCAGGATGTCAGTATGGCCAGAACTGAGCAGATGAAGAGGGGAGTGGAAGGAGGGAGTTGTCGGGATTGGCAGGGGCTACGCGGGTCATTGTGCGGACTTTGCACGTACAGCGAGGGAGACAGGGGTGGTGGGAGGGTTTTGTCTGGAGGAGGGAGATGATCTGACATATTTAAAAGCCTCCATCTGGTTAGACTGCAGGGGAGCAAGGGTGAAAGCAGAGAGACCAGGGAAAGAGGCAAGCCACTAGAATTCCTTCTTTCTTTCTTTTTTCTTTTCTTTTCTTTCTTTCTTTCTTTCTTTTTCTTTCTTTCTTTCTTTCTTTCTTTTTCTTCTTTCTTTCTTTCTTTCTTTCTTTCTTTCTTTCTTCTCCTTTCTTCCTTTCTTCCTTCCTTCCTTTTTCTTTCTTTCTTTCTTTTCTTTCTTTCTCCTTTCTTCCTTTCTTCCTTCCTTCCTTTTTCTTTCTTTCCTTTTCTTTCTTCTTTCTTTTCTTTCTTTCTTTCTTTTTCTTTCTTTCCTTTTCTTTCTTCTTTCTTTTCTTTCTTTCTCCTTTCTTCCTTTCTTCCTTTCTTTCTTTCTTTCTTTCTTTCTTTCTTTCTTTCTTTCTTTCTTTCTTTCTTTCTTTCTTTCTTTCTCTTTCTTTCTCCCTCCCTCCCTTTCTCTCTCTTTCTTTCTTTTTTGAGATTTTATTTATTTGAGAGAGAGAGAGAGTGGGGGGAGGGGCAAAGTGAAAAGCAGACTTTCTGTTGAGCAGGGAGCCCACTGATCCCAGGACTCCGGGATCATGACCTGAGCTGAAGGCAAGAGGTTTAACTGACTAAGCCACCCAGGTGCCCCTGCCGCTAGAATTATTTAGATGAGGGAGGTGTGCGGGCCAGATGGTGGCAGAAGAGGAGGAGAAAAGGGCTGGACTGTGTTCTGCTTAAGGTAGGAGCACCAGATTCTATGCAAGCTGGGGAGCTTGTCCATGATACATCCTTAAGCCAGGCAAGCAAGGTCAAGAAATGTGATCCCTTTTTTGTATAACATATTGAAAAAAGAAGTCTCTTTCTCTCTGTGTGTTTGCACATGGTTACCCATGCTAGGGAAAGGTGGAAAGTGCCCAGAGTATATAAGACATCGTCTGACTTTGGACAAGTCCCCCCCATTGAACTTGCTAGGCCTCAGCTGCCCCATCTGTGAAATGGGGCCATGGCCATGCCTGAGACAGCGTCGAAATCCCCGAAGGCATAGGCAGCTGATGGTAATGTCTCCTCCCACAGCTCTGGGACTCCAGCTCCCGAGACCTGCTCCCTAGTTTGGGTCACCTCAGCCCCTCCCTCTGCTAGTACAGGGTGGTTTGAAAATGCCCAGCGCTCATTTCAGGACCTGCTGAGGATTAGACAGTCCGTGTTGAGCACGAGGTGACTGGGGCAGTGGTTCTCTGGCGCACCAATCAGCCGAGGCGCTTGTTGAAATGAGGCGCTTGTTGAAATGCAGGTTCCACATCCTCAGAGGTGCCACGTTCTCAAAGACTCTGAGATGTGGAGGAGGTCAGGGCCCAGGAGCCCTGTGGTCCAGGCCCCACACTTCGGGAAACACTGGGCTGAGGGACGGGCTGGCCAGCTCCTGGTCATATTTGGAACCCGAGGCTGGGCATCTTCGGTAGAGATTTAACCTCTCTGAGTCCCGGGATGTGAGGTGAGCGTCTTTAGTTCCCTTTGGCAAGTGGAGCTCTCTTGTGTGACTCTTTTTAGTGAGGAGGAGCAAGCAGGGCCTTCCCGGCCTGGGGGAGGATGCTTTGCGTGAGGAGGGGATGGACTCGTTGGGATGATAGTCAGGATGGACAGCGAGTTCCTGGAGGTGCCTGGGGGCTGGGGCCGGGAAGTGGGGAGAAAAGGAGACCTGTTCAGAGGGATGTCGTGAGGCCTGGACAGGGGTGGGATGCCAGCTGACAGTAGGCGTGAAGTGATCCTGTTCTCTCCCTCCTGGGCCAGGTCCGGTGGGAGGCGAATGGCCAAGGTCGTACGGGACTTCCTGCAGGCCCAGCAGGTGCAGGCACCTGTGGAGCTCTACTCCGATTGGCTCTCTGTGGGCCACGTGGATGAGTTCCTGAGCTTTGTGCCCACCTCTGACCAAAAGGTGTGTCCCCTCTCCTCCTGCCTGAGCCACCCCTGCCCCTCCCCAACCTGATGGGAATGGTTAGAGCAAAGCCACCTGGAACCAGCTCACCGCCTATGTCCATAGGGAGCTCGGAGTCAGGGCACTCTGGGAACCTGATGGTGTTAATCGGGGGGGCTTCCTGGAAGAGGTCAGAGCTCAGGTCAGGAGGGTACTGATTGGCTCTGCTACTCATACGCTCATTCTCACACTTGCTGGGTGTTTGCTTTGATCCAAACCTCTCAGCCTAGACCCAGGAATGACACAGATAATAATAATTGGTAACATTTAGCGAGCACCTACGATATGCATGTGTTTTAATTCATTTAATCTTCCAACAATTCCATGAGGTAGGTACTATTATCATTGTCCCCATTTTATGGGTGGGAAAACTGAGGTCCAGAAGGGCAATTACAGGTAAGATTCAAACCCAGACAGAGGACTCGGGACCAACATTTAACCACTCAGCTCCACTGCTTTGCAGAGAGGGCCTCTTGCTCAGAGAGCAAGCAGCCTGGGAAGGGAGGCCGACCAGTGACCAGTGGCTGAGTTCCCCGGTAGACAAGGGCATCCAGGCAGAGAATGTCTTGGACAAAGGCCTGGGGGTCTGCAACAGCTTGGAGGATTAGGGGAATTGCGGAGAGTTCTCTATGGCTGGTAGGTGGGACCCACGTGTGGTCTGGCCTCTGAACTCGGGCCCCTCCTGAAGTTTGGGGTCTCCTGCAACCCATTCACTGAGGAATTCTCCTCCCTCTGCTAGGGCTTCCGGCTGCTCCTGGCGAGCCCCAGCGCTTGCCTCAGACTATTCCAAGAGAAGAAAGAGGAGGGGTATGGGGAGGCCGCCCAGTTTGATGGTGAGTGCCAATGACCCAGTCCCCCTGTGGGGACCCTGCACTCTCACTGCCAGCCCTGGGCTCCAGCGATGCCTTTCATGGCTAATACTCTATTTATAGGCCCTTTGCCTTGCTCAGATCCCTCTGCTCAGAGCTGGACATCACTAATTCTCCCTACACCCTCTCCTGGGAGCTGTTGGGCTGTCCCTTTATTGGCCCCAGGCAGGGAAGCCAAGAGGCCAGTGGATTGTCCCAAGCACACGCAGGGGGTGACCTCCGCAGTAAGAGTGGGCGGCTCCTGGCCACATCCCAGGAGAGGAAAGCCACCGGAAACAATGTGCACCCTACTGATCTTGTACCCTCCCCCTTATCCCTTTCCCCGGAAGCTCAGAGAGGAGTGCCTGGTCCAAGGCTATCCCCAGGATGCGGCAGGGCTTGGGGCTCAAGAGTGGGGTGGGGCGGTGGGTGAGAAGCCAGATGGGTGGTCAGGGCCCCTCTGTGGACCTGCCTCTGGGAATTGACAGACCATCCAAGGGCCTGGCTGGCCGCCCTGAGCCCCTCTCCCTTTCCACCATGGATCTCAGTGTTCACACCTGAGAAATGGAGCACTGGAAGGGATGTGGCAGAGCTTCAAGACCTGGGTTCAAAGCAAGACTGTGTTCCAAACTGCTCAGTGCCTCAGTTTCCTCTTCTCTGAGTTGGGGGTGATAATTAACCCACCCAGCATTGTTTTAAAGATTAATCATAAATTAAGTAGGGTGCCAGAGCATGGTGGGTGTTCAGTAATGGTAGCTGCCCTGTAATTACACAGCACGGAGCCAAGAGTCCCTTCCCGAGGAGCCTGTGCTCCATCGCCGGGATGTCCTTGCAGCCAGAGCCTGGCCCCCCCCCCCCCCCCCCGCAGGGTCTGCAGTCTCCTGCTTTCTCTGTCTGGTCACAGCTTCAGCCCCCCCGGCACTGAGGTGGGAGAAAAATCCTGGCCCAGATTCTGCCACCCCAGGCCCGAGATGGCCCTGGGCAGTCCGCCCTGAGCCACCGTCCTGCCTTTGTTCCCTCGCAGGGTTAAGTCACCAGGTGAAGAGAAGCATTAACGAGATGCTAGCGGACCGTAGTCTCAGGAGGGACAGTCTCTATGTACAGGTGAGGGCTCTTGGGGGGTCCCCCAGCTCCCAGGAGAAACAGCCCCAGGAATTGCTGGGGCAGGGGTCAGGGGCTCAGCCCCGGGCCTCTGACTGTCCTGGGGGCTGCCGAAACCTGTGGGTAGGGCCTCTGCAGTGGGAACCCACAGTCTGATGGAGGAGACACAGCAGCGCCCTCAGGGAGCTCCCAGTCTGATGAGGGAGATCTAGCTCTGAGGACAGGATGGATTTCTGGGGAAGCAGAGCGAGAGGAGAGAGATGTGGTGGAGAAATGGGGCCCCGTGTGGGAGAGGGGTGGCGCGGGCTGGAGGCAAGGGGATCGGACAAGAAGGAGGGCGGGGGCGAGGGCGGGGGCGGGAAGAGGTCTCTGGAAGGGGCGGGGCTAATGCCCGCCTCGTGCAGGGCGCCGGGCCTTGTGTGGAGCTGTGCTCAGTAAATGGAGGAGGCCCTTCCCTTCTCCTGAGTGGAGCTTGACTTGCTGAGGTGGGTAGGGGTACAGGTCACTCCGTGGCTGGGGCAGTGCGGTGTAGGGGCAGGCACTTTTGGAAACAGAAACTGGGTCCAAATCCCAGCTCCACTGCTTCCTAGCTCTGCGCCCTTGGGCAGGTCCCCTGAGCCTCAGTTTCCCTATCTGAGAGAGGCAGTGGCCCACAGCTGTTGGGAGGATCGAAGGAGCGCAAGGGTGCAGGGGGCTGTGCGCAGGGCCTGACACGCAGTTGGCGTTCAGCAAGTGGTAGAGCCCCCTGGCTCCCTGGGTGCGCCCGCTGCCTCTCCCCCTGCCCCCAGAAATGCATCGACTGGAACCGGGAGGTGCTGAAGCGGGAGCTGGGCCTGACCGAGCGGGACATCGTGGACATCCCCCAGCTCTTCTCCCTGAAGGGCTCCTATGCAGAAGCCTTCTTCCCTGACATGGTGAGAGCGCAGAAGAAGGTCATTTCCTGTCCCTGGGGCCCGGCAGGGTCTGGAGGGGTGTCAGTTGGGGTTCCAGAGGAGAAGCACTTCCTGTCGTCCGAGGGCAGCCGGGCACAGAGCCTGGGCCAGGGGGGGAAGCTTGCGGACCTCTTCAGCGTGTGTTTGCTTTTTGTGCACGTATACAGCATCCCCATCAGTGGTTCTCAACCAGGGCGATGTTGCCCCCGAGGGCATTTTCTTACTGCTACGAGGATGGGGGACCTACTGGCATCTTGTGGGTGCATGCTGGGGTGCTGCTGAACCTCCTTCCGTGCGTGGGGCAGCCCCGCAACTAAGGGTGTTTTTTTTTTTCTCCCAAGTGGAAAAAGGAAGCGTCTTTTGGTTTCAGTGTTTCAGGCTTCCTTTTCGGGGCCTCAGCTGTCTGCCATGCCCTGCATCCTGGCCCCCCACTGGCTGCTCCCCAGTGTGGCTCCCCAGGCGAGCAGGCGGGCCCGCGGTGGCTGCCTCCCCGGCTGTCATTAAGTCAGGCAGCTGACAAGCAGATGCCCAGATGTGATCTCACCGGGATGGCCTCTGGGAGGGGCCGGGTGATGCTATCAGCACAGCGCTGGCTGAACCATTAACACCTTGGGAAAGGATGACAGGGTGTTGGCGGCTTGTGGAGGGACTCCCCAGGATGGGGGACCTTCCCTTTTCAGCCCGGGGCCTGTCACTCGAATCCCTGTCACTGGACAAGCCAAGGGGTTGGAGTGAATCCTGAGGGCCTGCCTGGGGGCATGTGTGTTTGGCAGGGCTTCCCCGCCAGGATTTTCACTCACACCTGACACCTCACTGAGGGGTCCTGGCAGAGACCTCTAAGGCAGGGCTTCATGACCTTGGCTCTACTGATGTTTGGGCCTGAATCCTTTGTTGTGGGGGCCAGGCTGTGCTTCGTGGGATGGCTGCAGCATCCCTGTCTCCTACCCACGAGATGGCCCTGTAAGGACCACTCCTCTCACCTCACCAACCAGAATGTCCGGGGAGCAAAATCGCCCTGGCTGAGAACCACTGTTCTAAGGCGGTGCTGTGTGTTAGAACTTTCTCGGATGATGGAAATGTTCTGTGTCTGCACAGCATGGGAGCCACCAAGCCACATGTGGCTACTGAGCACTTAAAATGTGGCTAGTGTGGCTGAGGAATGAACCTTTTACTTTACTTTAATTTAATTTTCAACAGCCACATGTGGCCAGTGGCTGCCATATTGGTCAGGGAAACACTAAGGAGCACCCAGGCTCTGGTTCTGGCTGAAGTCCCATGACTTTGGCCAGTCCTCTTTTGGAAGCCCCCACCCCAACACACACCCCTCTGTGAGAATCTCTAAGCTTCGGTCCAGACCCTGCTAAAGGAGCCCAGGATGTCCTAACTGGAAGAGCCCCATAGGGAACACTCACTTAACCCCCTCATTTGTCAGTTGGGGAAACAGGACCTCCGAGTGGAGTGGTTGACTTGCCTGAAGTCACCCAGCAAGTGCAGAGCCTCCAGTCTCCTGAGTTCTCATCTCCTCTCCCGGCCCTCTGTCCCTCCACCTGCCCCACTTCCACCCAGCACATTCTGGCCCATTAGTGGGCAATGGGGTAGCTCAGGGCCAAGGCCATGGGACTGACCCCAGAGGACCCTCCAGCTTCATGTTGGTCCCAGCAGTGCATGGCCCTGCAGGGCAGACTTGAGGATGAGGGGCCACGGCATGGAGAATGTGAGAGCGTGGAGTCCAGGGCAGTCCACCCCACGCTGAGATGACCCAGCACCACCCTCAGGACGGCAGGTCCAGAGAGTCCCCTTTAAACACCAAGGACAGCTCCTCTGGCCATCAATATGGGACCAAGGTTTTCTCTGAGAGACCCTTCCATACCCTGCCCTGGGGAAACTTTCCTTCCCCAGGGTTAGGGCCCTCAGCCAGGGGAGCAGAAGTGCCTCTGGAGAGTAAGATGCCCCCAAGGGCTCCTAGCCCCCTCCCCCAACTCCCCAGCTCCCTACTGGGGACGCAGGGCTACAGACTTCAGTAGAATATAAAGAGCATAACTCTGGTCATGAGTTAGATCCACATCAAATTTTAGTCTCTCCATTCTCTCTCTCTCTCTTTTTAAAGTTTTTATTTATTTATTCATGAGAGACAGAGAGAGAGAGGCAGAGGGAGAAGCAGACTCCCCGCTGAGCAGGGAGCCCGATGTGGGACTCGATCCCAGGAACCCGGGATCACGACCTGAGCCGAAGGCAGATGCTTAACCTACTGAGCCACCCAGGCGCCCTCGTCTCTCTGTTCTCTGATTGTGTGGCCTGGATTATGTTATTTAACCTTTCCCAGCCACTGACTCAGAGGGAGGCTGTGAGGTTTAGTGATGATGTATCTGGCAGATGGGATGTTCAATAAACCGTAACACTTGTCAGGCATTCCAGGGATAGTTGAGAAAACCGTGCACTGCACAAGGGCACCACACCTATAAGGACATTCACACCATAGACCTTGTAGATACTTGTTGTACAAAGTTTCTGGCAAATGATGGCAAAATCTGGCTCTAACTAAATTGTTAGAATATGACAATATTCTGATAGCTGGAAGAAAGTATTGGAGGAATACTTTCCTTCGTATAAAGGAGCCATGTATGTTCCTGTCAGCCCTACTTGGTATTAATCCTCTCTTCCAACCACGAATCCATTTCTTCTCACCATAGACCCTAGTTTTTGAGCTAGTGCCAGTCCTCACGGCCCAGGGATGCTGACGAGGATGGGACATAAATGGGGACAGGGCCCCCGAAATGTGTAGAGGATCCCTGGGGCAGCAAGCCTTCCCTCTTGCCTTCTGTCTTCTACAGGTCAACATGGTGGTCTTAGGCAAGTACCTGGGCATCCCCAAGCCCTTCGGTCCCATCATCAATGGCCACTGCTGCCTGGAGGAGAAGGTGCGGTCCCTGCTGGAGCCGCTGGGCCTCCACTGTATCTTCATCGACGACTATTTGTCCTACCACAAGCTGCTTGGGGAGATCCACTGTGGCACCAATGTGCGCCGGAAGCCCTTCTCCTTCAAGTGGTGGCACATGGTGCCCTGAGCCTGCCTCCACCTGCCATCTCCTCTTCCCACCTGCCTGGGAGCCCCGCCAGGGTGAGGGCAAGGAACCTCCACCCGGCCTCCATCCTCTTAGGGGAGCCTCGGGCGCTTCTTCCCGAGTGCCTGCAAACGTGCTGGCCACTGCAGGCCCGGGGATACGGCGGTGGGCATCACACACGCTCACCTCTGGAGTGGCCTCCCTGGCCCGAGGAGGATTGTTTTCATTCCTCCCTCCCTTTTCCTGACCCGACACTCCCAGAGGTTCTGGAAAAGGGCAACAGTCTTAACCTATTCACGGCCGACCGTGCATGGTCACGGTAGGCGCCCCACTTTGAGTAGCTTCCCCTCTCTTCTGATATTCCTTTCGTGTCGGCACCAGGAGTGGGACCCAGAGGGCCTGGGCTCCCGGGTGGGGGCCTGGGCCTAGGGAACCTGTGGTTCTCGGAGGAGCAGGAGCAGGGAGGTGAGGCACCCCCCTTTTCTCTACCAGCTGTCCTCTCCTGCAGGCGACCCTCAAGCGTGACCTCCTGGTAGCCCTCAGCCACATTTATAGAGGCAAATAGGCATAGGAAAACCCAGCATCTGAGGGCCTGTTTTAAAAAGAAAAGGCAACAAAACCCCTTTAATACCTGACTCCATCCTCAGAAGGGTGCTTGTTACCTGGTTAGAAAGCCTTTAATTATGAGTGCTGGCTGCTTCCGGCCCCCAAACGCTGTGAGGCCAGAGAGAGGCCTCAGGGGGGCACCCAGAGGCAGGCTGGCAGGAGGCCAGGGTGGCGCAGGCAGCCGAGGCCCGAGGACGAGCCGCGAGGCCTGCCCTCCGTGCCCTATGTCCCCACTTCGGATTTTGGACTCTGGATGCGAAGCGGGGGCTGGCCGTTCCAGATGTCACGGGGCAGGGGCCCAGATGTTAGGAGAGGGTGGGGGGGGGCCATTAGGTTATCTCTGAAGGTGGGGTTTAATTTCCTTTAATTGTCTTTAATTATTCCCCTTGGCCCTGCAGGCAGTGGAAGGGAAGGCTCGCCCAGTCCCTCTCGGCAGCCTGGAGACCCTGCACGCAGCCTGGGTTTCCCCTGTAGAGTCAACCCCGTGCCAGGCCTATCCCCCTCCTGCCCCCCCCCCAGAGGGGAGAAGAGAGCTGCCAGGGGGGCTGGGGGCTGGTTAAGGCTGGCCCCGGGTGAGGCCACTGGGATGTGCATGGGCAGGCAGGCCTGGCCAGTGCCGGGCGAGAGGTGGTCTCTGCCTCGGGCAGGCACGGGAACAAGGGAGCCAGCCTGCCCCCTCCCTGCCACTGCCTCTGGGGCCAGCCGGGTGGCTGTCAGCCCCGGGCCTCCACCCGCGGGGTTTTCAGTGGCCCCTGGTAAGACGGCGACTGGGCCAGCCAGCCACTGTTGAACTCTGTGAACCGTGGAACACTTAGCAATCAGAAACTTCCGTGGAAAACGGACATCTGAAGCAGACGAAACAGAACTGCTCCGGTTTCAGATGGCGAGGGTTGTGTATCTGGGCTCTCGTCTTTCAGAAGACTCTGGGGACCCCATTTGCAAGCCCCTGGTCTGAACTTTGCACTTTCTGCTCATAACTATGACCCAGCCTAGACCGAGCCAAGGCGAGAAGGGAAGCTCTTCGGGGGCCAAGGGCCTGCAGCCAGCGTTGAGATTCCCCAGGGAAAGGCTATGGGGAGAGGGCAATGGGCGTTGCAGAGGGATAAGGAGGGTGGGGAGCAGGCCATCTAGAGCTGCCCTGAGTGTGGGAAGCTCTGGAATTGCTGCTAGAGTTGTCAGAGGGCCCTGATGTCCCCTCTGAGGATGTTCCGGGTGACTGATCACCTCCTACTTGATTAATAAAAATGTCAACATGCATTTCTTCAAGTGGCTGCCTCCTCAGCTTCTGTTTGTTGGGCTGTAGGGAGGAGGGAGGAGTGAGGGGGGCCCTCCTTCCAGTTCCACCCACCATGCCCCAGCTCCTTGGCTCAACTTCTGCCGGCCATGGGCAGCTCCTACCTGGCTGGGAGAGCCCCCAGGGCCAGTGCCTGGCAGGCAGGCAGGCTGATTCAGCAGGATGGCTGGCACAGGCCCATAGCTCTGCCCTGCTGAGATGGATATCGGGGGATAGGTAGGTCCTACCTCTTCCTTCCCGGGGCTATCTATCTCTTCCATCTCTCAGATGCAGGTGGGCTGGGCCCTATTGGCAGAGGTAGGAGATTCTCCAGTGGGACTTGTGCCCAGGGCCAGCAGATGATTTCCTTTCATTCCTACCTCTAAAGCTACCAGGTTCCCCAGCCTCAGTGTTCTGATTTCAGGAGCCTGAAAGTAACACCCCTCTCATCCTACACACTGGTTCTGCCTTGGATTGTGCCCTTTGACACTCACTCCCTTATTCACTTTATTCACCTTTTTTGTGGACTAAAAGGCAAAAAGTTGCTGCTTATCAGTCATTGACACTTTAGTCTGAGTGAACCACTGATGTGTTTCTGGTATTAACCAGGGAGAGGTGAAGACCTAGGTCTAATTCCAAAGGGAGATGCAGGGCTCTAAGCTGGAAGCTGGTCCTGCCCCCAGTGCAGGAGGCCAGTGTCCAGGGGGAAGCCCCCACTTTCTGCACCGATTCCCCAGCTGTGCTCATAAGCAGGTAGGGAGACTATTTGGGGCTTCCTTCTGAGTCCTGACTCTTACCCAGAGCTGAGTTGGCCATCAAGCCATTTTCTAGCCAAAAAAGTAAAGACTGTCATTGAATCCAGCAGCCCAGCAGCTCTCCTTGAGAACATCCTTCCCAGACTCTGGGATAGAAGAGCACCAGTCTCAGAGTCCTGCTGAGGTCCTTGAACTGCTGGGAGTACACACACTGGGGACTCTGGGGAACAGCTCCCGGTCCCCCACCTGCCTCAGACAGGCAGCATCCCCAGAGAGAAGGGAGGAAGCTTCTATTCAGCACCTTTAGAGGCTGGCTGGGTAGGGTGTGTCCCCGCCATTATCTCTGCTGGGCTGGTGATGAGCCACATTTTCTACAGATGAGGAAACCAAGGCTCAGAGAGAGGGAACATAACCACCCAAGGCCACATAGCTGGTGCACAGTGGAGTCGGGATCCGAACCCAAGACCCCTCTCCTCAGAGCCCTTGCTCCTGTTGCTTCAGGTGGCTGAATGCCCCCTCTGGCCTCAGTTTCCCCACCTGACAAGTGAGCCTTCCTACCCCGACGTTCTAAGCTCTTCCTGGCCAGAGAGGGTTTAACTCGAACCACCCACCCCTTTCACAGTCTTTTGCCATGTGATAATAATGATAACGCCAGTAATAGAATAATGCCGAGCTCCACACTAGAGCTCTGCCCACGTCGTCCCATGTAAGCCATGCAACAGCATTTTCGGAAGCACCACATGAGGCACAGAGCAATGGAGTGGCTCGTCCACAGCCACACAGCCAGGATGTGGTTGAGGCTGGGCTGAATCCAGTCCTGCTTCTACACTCCATGCTCTTAAGAGAAAGGCTGGTGTTTCTCAAAGTTTCTCAAAATGCTTTGGGGTGCTTATAAAAAAAAAATCCACATGCCAGGTGGCACCCTCTAACCGGCTGCGTCAGACTGGAGGTGGGGCCTGGGAATCTGCACTTTCACCAGCTCCCCCAGCAGGGTAGAGAAGCTCCCCACTAAACTATATCATCTCTGAAAATGCAGGAAAGGGGGTGAGGAGGAGGAGTGTGGAAAGTGAGGAAGGCACCCAGGTCAATACCCCACATCTTTGCCTCCCCCACGCCCCCAAAGCCCTGAGGCCCCAGCCAGGTGCCTGTGGGGACTTGCTCCCTTAGAGGGAGAATCTAACTCCCTCTGTGCTGGGGGCGGAGCAACAGGTTCATATGCAAATGATGGCTTCCTTCCGGCCAATCCTGAGCTCCCGGCTCTGGGAAGGGGCTGGGCTTCCAGGACTGGAGCCAATGAGCTAGCACCCGGGCTGGAAAGGCGGGGCCGGGGTCTTTTAAACCATACGTCAAGGGATCTGCGGGGCAGTCTTGGGTTTGGTGGCCCAAGCCCAGTCCAAGGCCAGCATGTCACTGCAGAGGATCGTGCGTGTGTCCCTGGAACATGCCACCAGCGCCGTGTGTGTGGCTGGTGTGGAGACCCTCGTGGACATTTATGGGTAAGAGCCAGAGGCCTACGGGTCTCCAGCTGTGCAGGGCTTCCTCGGGGCTCAGGCCTGGCACGGCTGCCCTCCCCCAAGCCAGGGGACTTGCAGTGGTTGAGCTCTGGTCCAGGGCCTTCGAAGGTGCTGGTGTCATGGGGGCTTGGGCACATTGGAGGACCCTGCAGACTGGGTACACAAGAATAGGAAGAGGTGTGTACCCCCAGCCCGGGTCCCCAGCTTATGAGCTCTGCAAAGAGCATCAGTCATTTCTTTAGAAATCATTTATGTTTATGTAGCACTTCCTATGTGCCAGACACTGTTCTAAGCGTGGCAAACTTCTTGAATTTAACCCTTGAACTTTAATGCTCCAATTTAACCTTCACAACAACCCATGAGCTAAGTTTGTTGTCAGCTTCATCTCATTTGATGGATGAGGAAACTGGCACAGAGAGGGCAAGCCATTTGCTCAGGTGACACAGTAACTAAGTGTCAATGCCAGGATTCAAACCCATTCATGGTCAAGGGTCTTATGCTTTTAGCTGTCTGCCCCTTAAAGAGGAAGGATCTGGTTTCCTCCAGCCATTCAGAGCTCACATGATATGGCTCTATTGTGTGCCATGATCATATCCTTAAAGCCAGTGGCTGGAGGTAAGGCTCCACCTTCTCTCTCTCCCAGGAAGAAAAGGAGAGTTTAGGCAGGGTTTTAGGAACTGGGCTCTGGGAACCACCGGGGAGCTGGCTGCTTAGCTTTTTGGGGAGTCTCCAGGGGACCCAGTTCCAAGGCTGAGCTGAGGATGCAGGTAGTCAGGGGACAGCGAGGAGAGAAGGCAGAACTGTGTCACCATTCCCTTGTCACTGGTCTCCCACCTTCTCCTCAGACTGGGTTTTGAAACCTCAGCACTACTGACCTGATAATTTCCCGTTGCGGAGGCTGTCCTGTGCACTGCGAGATGCTGAGCAGCGCCCTTGCCTT